AGTAAAAAAAAATACAATGAATTGCTATCGCCCATTTACTCAAACTGATTTGATTAAAGTATGCGGTAAGGCCGTTACGAATTGCGCTCATTGCTGAGAATGTCTCGCAATATTACTAGCTGATCTTATTTACCGAGAGAATATTGTACAAAAACGTAAGAGTAATATTTCTCGCAATTGCACGTACTGCAAGATTATGTTTGAAATTTAACTCGTATAATCTTTGTCATATTATTGCCAGAGAGGAGTAAAAAATTTTTTATTCTGCAGCAATGACATAATCGACAGCGGCCCAAACGCCAATCGACTAAAAATCGTACTTATCGCAAACTTACAAATAACATCCAACTAACGTCATGGTTATGTAAGAACGCGTATAATCGTTACGTAACGTTTGAGCTTGACAACTAAATATCTCGCTCTCTCGTATGATAAGGGTAAGCCTTATTTTGCGCAAGTTTACGGTAGTTATTGCCCGAAGACGTGCAAACCGATAAATAAAATATCTTGGACAATTGATTACTATTTATATTATATTGTAACATTCATCGATAGCAGTAATCCAGTTGTAAATGGTTGAAAATACAGTGATCAACTATTATTTGCTCGATTATAAATTATAAATTATTTATGTTACAAACTTTTAAATAAAAGAATGAAGGGGGGAGAAAATTTGATAGTTATGGCTAATTTAATAGCCCATTTTTTGCTTCCGCAAACGTTGAATTGACAACAAGTTTTGTTCAGTCTCACGTGAGATTGATAACGAATTATCAATACGAATCAAGCAGTACTCGGCAAAGCTTAATATCCAAACTTAGACTAGACGTGATTAACTGTACCTCAGGCGCGTAACGTTAAATACCTCATTTGTTGTTGAGTAATAAACATTCTATAAATAAATACTATTTATATTCATTGCTAATTAAGAGTCGCATTTCTTAATTATACCCTCAACAAAAGACGCATATCAATTGTTGTTCCGATATTATTTTTCTCTCCTTGCACGTAAGTTGCTAGGCGACAAGGCTATTGCTAAAAAGTTGTTTTCTTTAAAAACCAAGACTATTAAATTTTTAAATTCTTTCTAAAATCAGCTTTATATTGATAAGTTTTTTATGTAACGGGACAATTAATCTTGCGTTAGAAACCCAGAACCTTGAATGCACATTTCAGCGGTAAGGAATATGCACGTAGTTGTCTTCAGAATTAGCTGAGGCAATTGAAGCGAGCATGTTAGCAACGTTATGTTCGGAGCCAATATTCCCTGGTCAAAAAAAAGGCAACCACACATATACAATTTAATTTCTACCTTATTATTACAAGTTTTTTTATAAAACATTAATAAACATTTTTCTGGCTTTATCGTGTCGGCAACTCTGAAACCCCTTTCTTTTAACTCGTTTGCCAGGTTTTCACTCACGTGTTTACTGATGTAATCATGAAATTTCGCCTCAGACTTATTAGATAAAGATAATGGCGTAAAACGTTAATCATTAAGAACTTTAAATGTTAGGAAAATTCTACTCTATTTATACTAACCCATTGTGGGACCAGCAATTATAATTTTCTGTTTCATCTAATAAAAAACCAACTTTAATATTTATAGTTTATTCACATTCGATGCAATATATTGCGTCCGGTGTCGATTGTCGCGCCTTGCCTTTGATACTACGAAAATAATTCGGATAAAAGATGAAAGGCACAGAAGTAAAATAACTTTCTTATCTCAACAAAATTGTGTATTCGGCCCACTACATATTGAACTTCTTTTCTTAACTAAATAATCACAGAGGGACAATATTCGAACGAAAAGCGTTAGTATTTTACTCGTTTTCGCTGTTGAAAGTTCTTATGAATGGACCAACAGATTACTCTAAAGTTTTCCTGATTCTAAAGTTACAGTAGATGTCAAAATTATATCAAGTTCACGAAATCAGACAATCATGTAAACGCTAATTTTTTTTCCTCATTCGACCCATGTAATAAGACTATACTATCAGACCTGCCAGACTGAATACTGTGCAACTAAATATTTTATCGACAACATTATTAATTAACTTTAGCCTTTAATAAGTTGGTTAATATTAAATATTAATATAAACAGGTGAGACAAACCTACGGTCTTTACCATCAATAATAACATCCTCTCGTCACCTTGCAGAAGTCGCTGCTTGATGATGGGTAGCGCAGCAACTAAATATACTTTTTTCCCGAGATTAGTACATTAACTAAGCATCCATGCAGCAATACAGCCCAAATTGCACGAAAAATAATAGATTTAAAATAAAGTTTGTATATCGTTTGTTGAAACGAAGATATCTAACAAATGCGTTTGTTCTCATTTATGGAAGATACGCCAAAACAGCAGAAAATGCAAGCATCAAATACCTAAAACAAGATACAGAATGTTGCAGAGAAAAGTTGAACCATTCGTATCGCAAGTTTTTTTTCCTCAAAAGTTTCAAGTCCAATATTCTTACTTTATCACAAATTATGAATACTCGCGATATCGAAAATACATCGAACCCATTCATTATATGCAATCATTGTTAGCCACAAGTCTCGCGTCCTGTCACAAAACTCTGTAAATGCAAACGGATACAAAGAACAACCGTAAGAGGTAAGGTTAAATCTTAGTTTGACATAAACACCATGTATTGTTTGACAATAAAGCGTTTAGGTTTTTAGCGGCTATTAGAAGAGGTATAAAATTTAATGATGACGATGAAAGAAGCTTTGCAGAAAGCCGGAGAATCATTAACACTCGTTGAGCACTTGAAGTCGTGTAAACGGCATGAGGTACAAGACACTTTATCTCTCAACAATGCTAGAAATATGGTAATACGGCTTTCACAGCCTTTTGCGAAAATTGAACGGAAAATTTTAGCCAAATCAAAAGTCAACAGAATGACATAAAAGCTGCAGCCAACCATAAAAGATTTAAAAAAATTCTTGTACATTCCACATAGAGCAATTGGAATACCCACAAACTGTGTGTACCAGCCGACGTTGTATAGAAGTCTTAATTACTGAATGACATAAGACGTGTCGCTACAAGGAAGAGTGTCATTCACCTGTTATTTAAAAAATGTCGCATGCAATGTAGTGAACCATGAAGCCTTGAGAGGCTGCGTAGCCATGGAATCAGATGGAATCTGTCAAAATTGTGGAGTACTCATATGCACACTACCTATAGGTTTAATCTTGTGTTAAGCCAAGTTATAAGCAAAACGTCGCGAAGCGAATCAGAAAGGTCGAGTCATTTAATATAGCAAGACAAGAGCTCATTAAGGAGAAACGGGCGCATGTAAAAAATTTAAGAAAAGAACGGGATACAATAAACCGTATTAATATTCAATTTGCAAAATTCCTAAGACAAAGTGTAATAGCTCCATTCAATGACGTATATGCTGACTACTTGGATCATTTTATACAAGAGGAGAAAATCAAGAAGGCTCATAATTTGTCTAATTACAATGATAAAGTTCTCAAAGGCCTCGAGAGAGTATATCTGACGAAGATAGAGAGTATTAAAAACGCGATTGGGAAGGATCATTCTTTCGAACAACTGATCTCGCCAGAAGACATAGAAATGCTTGTACAAGAATTATATTCTCTAGAATTATATGGTGCAGCCCTGAAAAAAGCAAACGACATAGAAATAAGCAGTGAGAATTTTGCGTTCTTAGATAAAAGCAATAACGGTCCTATGAGGGAAAAAGTGGGCACGATGCAATCGCAAAAGCATTACTCTTCTTCGTCTTTATTTTGAAAGTGATTAATACTGTATTAGTATTGGTCTAGTTGCACTTGGCATACATATTTATTCGTTACTGTTATAGTATGCACTTGCATATCTTTTAGTTGTATTGTTGTTAAAAATTCAAGACTGGCATGCATACTGGATTCAGCTGTGCTTTTCAATAACTGACAAAGCAAAAGGGAGATACAATGAAATGCAAGCCGACTGATTTGAGTAATGTATGCGGTAGAAAAAATGTGTAATATAATACTCGCCGACAAGTTCTCGCGGTTAATATTATTAAACGAGAGAATATTGCGCTAGGTCTGCAAAAATTGTGGAAGTAATTTTTCTTACAATTGCGCGTACTGCAAGAAATATTAATTATACTCGTATACTATTTTGTCGTATGTAGGGCCAGAGAGGAGTGAACAACAAATATTTCTGCAACAATGACATAATCGACAACATAACATAGCGACCCAAACTTTCATGCATAAGGTTTTATCATGTAATCTTACAAATGACAACCAACAAACGTCATAACTGTGGTTTATGTAAGAACGCGGACAATCGTTATGTGACGATTTGTATTGACAACCAAATATTCGTAAGTCTCTATTTTACGCAAATTATTGCTCGAATACGTGCAAGTTGATAATAATATAGCTTGTTTATAATAATAATAGTATAAACAATCTATAATCTATAGTCGAGCTAATAATGGTTGGGCATTCTATTTTTACCATTTACAACTGAATAACTGCTATCGGGAATGCCAAATGCTTGTTTTTTATTCCTTAATATTAATCAAGTTTTTAGTTATCGAGTACTATGCATACATAAAACTCTACCGTATACAGAGAGTGCAATAATAGGTTACGCGAGAGAGTTATATAAATTATAATAAAACTTTTTTGCTACGCGGTTTTACTAAACATGTCTTGGTTTGTTAGATTAAACGAAAAACGCATTACTGATGGCTATGTCGCATCGATATTTAAAAAGTAAATATCTTAACATTTGTGATGGGAAGATAATTATAAGACCAACATGTTTACCCAAGTGCTGATGAATTTAATCTGATCAGTGCAGGTCAAAATTTTTTTTACTATATTCTTTACTATTCTCAGTATTAGGATATTGAGGGTTACCACTTATGTGTGAATGTTTTACTGGCATATACAAGAGCGTATGGATACTTAATATTAAATAACAACTATGTGTAAAATATCAATAATTAATAATTAAGTTAGGTATGTAGATATCAACGATCACTTGTTTAGTCCAATCGCAGCTAAGTTACTTCTATTGGCTTTTATAGGTACCTGCTTTTATCGTTATTACGTAATCAGTAAAAGTTTTCCTCGGCCACCGCGTCTCAATCACCTCATGTGCAAAAACATGTGTAACAAGGAGTTTGGCATCCGTAATATCAATATCTGCAGGATCAGTCGCAGTTCCCCCAAATTTCACTCTTCCTTTCTCACATCTTCAAGAAAATCTCGAAGATTTGCGAGGAACACTCCAAGTATAAAGCCAAACATACACAAAATCTTAAAATAAGATAAACCCGACGGGCTAAATCCCTCTTTATTAACAAACAAGCACCACAACAGCCACGCAAAGGTATTTTAATACCAGATCTTAATGCTTGAACACCTGCCATCTAACACGGATCTATTAAACAACTACCTACAATCCGCCTGTTTCCTCTCGTTGCCAATATACGTACTTTACACCTATAGAATCCCTCACAAATGACCGATCACCACGCCGACGACTTGATTGACTACGAAGAGGAGGAGCACCTTCTCCATACGGAAAGCGCCTCAACACATAAACAAAATAATTATAACGAAGCTACTGAGGAAGATAAAAAGGATAAGAAGGGCAGTTACGTAGGCGTGCACGCGACTGGCTTCCGGGATTTCTTATTAAAGCCTGAGCTGTTAAGAGCAATAGTAGACTGCGGTTTCGAGCATCCTTCCGAAGG